TACTGAACACTAACATACCTCAGTATAATAATCAGGTAAAACATGGGTAATCTCATGTGATTTTTTATCACAAATGAAATAAGAAATAAATACAAAATTTTCAACTTACTTACATTATTAATTATCATTATATTAATCTTACTATAACTACATATTGCGCAGTTTGAAAGAGAATTAACTGACAATATAACTTCAAAACAATTAGCTTATTATCAATTAAGACAACCAAGTTCAACATTTTGAGTTAAACATAACATAATTTGCCCAATAATATTAAGATAATGACTATAAAAGCACCAAGTCCAAAGAAAGTTACAKTCCCTGCATCTTAACCCAGATGYAGCTGTACAAATTACCCAGAATTTTTAACCATTTTCATTCACAAGCTGGTAAATTAGCAAGGGCAACAAAGGATACCARGGGGATATCATCCAGAATTCAATGCCATTTCTGACATACTTCCTCCAAGTGAATAAAAAATTGCATTCTCTAAATGCTTTAAGCTTACTTGTCGTCTAGCCATTTTACTTTCCAATAAGTTAATATGGATCAGTATCGATCAGTGAAAGAAAGATGTCCACCACTTCGCCATGATTCTCTTTCAAAACAAAGCGGTTCATCAAAACAGCCTGCTTCAAAACACAAGTTATAGTTTATAGTTTTTAGCCGCTAATGCAGCTATGAATTCTCCTTGTGACTTCGGAAATTCTAGCTCCATTTTAGCTCATTTTCATTTGTTTGACATTGACTCCACGAATAAGATGAATTGTGCTCCATCTTTGGTCCGAATGTAGTATGAAAATCTTTGCGATTAGAATAAATATATACAGGCAAAATCAACATTTGGAAATTCGTGTAAAAAAGTACGCCAGTTCGACCGCCATTTTGTTATGTCTTGTCACCCTTTTGCTAAAATACAATAGATTCTGGATTGACCAATCAGCGTTGACTATAGTGTGTTCTTATTGGCTAAAACTGTAGGAATCGTACAGCATAGTCCTACGATTACTACCGGAAAGATATTCAGTCAATATTGGTAATAAAAATTATGTAATTATTTCTAATTTTTGTGACGAGAGGCCTTCTGGGAAGGCTCTCGTCATAATGTCATCGTGCAGGTAAATAAATAAGAGTGTAACCACTCCACTTCTACCAGGCGTTCCTGGTGGTAACTTAAACACATGGTTGTAATGGTTGTATGTAGTCAGGGAGATCTTTTACGATCGAAGTAATTTCGGGTTTATCGATTTATACGAGACTATACAAAGTTATCTACGAAATCCTGACGTCTGAAATAATCACTGAAAATACGATCAAGAAACGATTTGTCCTGACCATGTGCGTTCTCAGTCTCTTCGATCGTTGATGTGTTTGTGCTTTCGAAGCTGAGTTGTTCTTTCTATTACGGTATAATGTATTTAAACTCTGTTGTGTCTAGACCTAGGCACAACTTTCTTTGCATTTACAGTCAAGTGTGTATTTCTAAAGAATATTTTAGATTTTGTAGTGGTTTACGGGGATTGTTTGACAACAAAAGTCCGATTGCTTCGCTTGGCTTGTTACAGACCAGTCCCGACCGCATGATTACTGTCATTACTAGATTACACATCAAAATGATTTGACCTATGTTAGCTTATGTTGTTGCAGTCTATTTTGACTCATGATGTTAATATT